GTAGGAGGAATCCGCGAGTCGATTTCACGGAATTCAGTTTCTCGCTCCAGGACGTGTTTTTTGGTCGCGTCTCCCGATTTTGGATGGGGATTGCGTCTTTTTACTTTTGCTTCGTATTGTTTGCGGTTTACGTGGAACGATTATTTGATACGTTACTTTCGAATCACGAATTTTTATGAGCATTGTCAAGGAAAGAACATTTGATATTTTTTATTCTTGATTAAAATGGTGATAATTCGCCATTTTCTTTTTGCCGTGCCCTGTACTTTTTGATGTTATTGATTTCATGTGCGATTTCTTTTTGTCCTTATTTAGAGATGATTTTATTTCGTTTGATGTAGTACATGCAAACGTTAATGAAAGTTAATGAAGTGATATTATTTTTAATTTTTAAAGTTTCATAATATTATAATAATTTTTTCTTTACTATAATGTTCAGGAGTCTTCATTTTAATCTATTAGAATCGTTCCTTAGTCAACTTTTAATTAATTATTATTTTTATTTTACTTCTGTACTTCGTGGGTTCATTACAGCGATCTGTATACGGTGTCCCTAAACGAAAGGAGAGCAATTCAAATACAAATACCTATCGAACAAGGTATTTATGAACTTTTTTGGTACAAAGGACTAAATTCAAACTCTTGTTGTTATATGGCAATGAAAATAAAAACAACAAAGTCTGTTGATTAATTTATTTCCTAATTGACGAGTGAAAACATCATAATCAAAATTTACAATAAAAAAATATTTATAAAATATTTCTAACGTCTGTTAAAAAATATTATCGAAAATTCACACTTTCCACCGAAACTTCAATGTTTATTGCTCTGACAATGAGTGTCCTCTCCTTTCGAGATATCTTACGAAGAATTCTATGAAAACGTTCTACACGCAAACAGCTCCTCCTACTATAACCTTCTTGTATTGTGATCTTATTTAATCGCAGTGTCTTTAGTTGCCTGACATGTCTAACAATAGCAAGAGAGTGCATATCTGTGGATGACTTGAATAACAACACTAAAAATTGAAGGGAGCACTATGAAGTCCAAACGTTTGAACCGAAACATCGCAACTTCTCTCGATGAAATCGCAAAATTCAACAGGAAAAAGAAAAAAAACAAAGAAAATGGAAAAACAAAAAGAAAAAAGAACGTTTACAGTGGGTTGTTGACTTTCGTAGAGTTTCAGCGAATAGAAAACATTTTAGACGTAGAATAAAATTGTAATTAAGTAGCGCTTCCTTTGCCGCAGACCTCTGTTACGAAGGTATTTACCAGCAACGCCGTAGACCAAAAAAGACCATCACACACACAATGGTGATGAAACACTTGGGGACGAAAGATTTTACGCGCGCAATGCTTGGTACGACGTTTTTGGGCCGCCAAACCTTAGTGGTCTGCTTTGCCCCAAATGTGCACGAAGAACAATGTTTTTTAACTTTATCTAGGTGTCTTAGAACGCTTCGTTTCTTAACAGTCTGTTAGTCGACATTGGAGTGCTCGAAGCTTTCTTTATTTTTTGTATACTATTTATCTACGCCCCCTTCTGCCCAGCTTTTCGGATT